AGCATTTACCATCTTCACACGGATACGCTGATGATACCCAGCTGTACTTGTCCTTTTGTCCTGAGTCGCCTGTTTGTCAAAATGATGCAGTTCGGGCTATTGAAGCATGTATAACTGATGTCCGCGCTTGGCTGGTTTCTCAAAAATTAAAATTTAATGATCTCAAGACAGAATTCTTAATAATCGGCACTCGTCAGCAGTTGAAGAAGATTGAAATTAACTCTGTACAAGTAGGGGACGTGGATATTAAACCTGCTGAAAGTGTTCGGGATTTAGGTATCTGGTTTGATAAAAACATGTCGATGGATGTTCACGTCGGGAAGGTTTGCAGCAAAGCTTTTAGAGGATTATATAACATCAGACAAATAAGGAAGTTTCTTTCTCAGGAGACAACTAAAATTCTTGTGCATGCATTTATAACCTCACATTTAGACTACTGTAATTCGCTCTTGTTTGGGATTCCACAGTACCAGTATCAGCGTTTACAAAGAGTTCTTAATGCGGCTGCAAGAATGATATGTTTTACACCAAGATCTGCTCATATCACTCCGGTTCTAATGAATCTTCATTGGTTGCCAATAAAGTTTCGAGTTGACTTCAAGATTGCATTACTGGTTTACAAAGCCCTTAACGGAATGGCACCTCAGTACATTGTTGATCTACTGTCGTATAAGCCTGAAAGCAAATACCATTTAAGGTCGGATAATTGTTCCTTGTTAAATATCCCGAAAACTAATGCAAAAACTCTTGGGGACAGATCATTTAAATACGCTGCCCCTCTCATATGGAATTCTCTTCCACTTCAAATTAGACAGTGTGAAACAATTAATTCCTTTAAAACTCAATTAAAAACATTTTTATTTAGGAAGGCATTTGAATAGACAAACTTCCTATTAAGTGTAAATATCGTGTTAATTTCTAGTAGGATAACTTTAGAATGGTTTTAGAGCATATTTATAACTGTAACTTTTAATTGTACAGCGCTTTAGAATATTTTTAACATAATTTAAGCGCTATATTTAAATGACTATATTATTATTATTATTATTAAATCACCGTATCAAAAATGTTTGGAATGTTAAAATCACTGCATCAAGCCAATGAGAATGCGCCTTAGGTTAGCTGCTTGATACGGTCTGATACGGTGGGCCTAGTAATTCTTGTGATATACATTATGCATTTTGAATTGGCATTGTTGATTGGTCAATTTGGACGTGTGTTCGTGACTGAGTTTGTCGTAATGATTAACCTTTCGTCATGGCGCTTGCCGAATTAAGACTGATTTTTGAGCGTGTTTGCGCCAAGCAAGATGTGACGGCTGAACTAAAGCTCTTTCGAGAAAACTGTGAGGGTATTTTATGCAGCAGCATAAGTGCTAAACAAAGGAAGTTTAAAAGAGCATGGTAACCATGAGAGTATGCCGATTCTCGAGGCTGCAGTTTCCGAAAGTTCTGCTGGAGAGATGTGGTGGACATGTTCCTGTGAGGTGTCATATTTAATTAAATAAATAAATTCATATGGAATCATTTTCATGACATAACATGATTGCCATGATAGTAATATTTTAAAACGTTTAGCCAGCTTTTACGATTAGATATGTATTTAATACGTGTTCTATGCAAATGTATTATGATAAGGATCAATTCATGATATGATATGTTATAATATTGCTATCAGTTGATATACTGGTACCCAGTGTGTAAATGAGATTATACGTGAGTATAAAAATTTACAGTCGAAATTTAACAGGATGACGACGCTTTCGTGTAATTGTTATATATTATTATTGTTATTGATAAGCCAAACTAACACATATTGACATACATGAAAAAAGCTAAGAGTTTCTCACTTGACTGTGTTTTTATATTGAATATATATATATATTTTTTTTATATAAACATATTTATTGACTTTAGTGTCTACCCAAGAGCGTGCACGCTCATCGAGGGGCTCACACTACATTTGACATTACAAATAATTGAATAACACTTACAACAGGAGAAGACGAACATTACAAAAAAGAAAAGAAAAACCAACAGCAAAGGTGATAAATGCTGGTTCAATTGAAGGTTCAGAAGTAAAAAATTAATTCTTAGAAAAACGATTAGTTTGCTTAATATATTTTTGAACATGCATAAATATACATCTATTACTATCTACACTCAAATCAGCTGAACCAAACAAAAATATTTGACTTTTGAGAATCAGACAAGAGATACCAGCTTCATCATAAATATGAGCAGCAGCCGAGAGTAAGGATAATCTAAGAGCAGCATAACGAGGACAATATAAGAGCAGCATAACGAGGACAATATAACAAATAATGAATGACTGATTCACAAGAATCTCCACATAAACATGCTGGAGATATTCTACAATTAATTTTAAACAAATAATAGTTTAGAGCATTACAATTAAGGCGCAAACGAGTGTGTAAGATAGAAGAATGCCTATCAATAGAAAAATCATAATAGCCAGTATAAGTTTGAATGTCAAAAAACAAAGTTAATGAGCTCTTAATATTATACACTGCATATCTGGTAAAGTACTATTTGTATTATGATATCTGCATGTAAATATTAAATCTGATTTGTCTCAATACATTGAACTAACCAAACATATAAAATAAAGGCAAAAGCAAAGTTATAGATACCATAAAATTCCATTGCTAGCTTGGCCATTGATGTCAACTCAGTCATGTTAAGTCAACTACCCTATTTATTCACTTTACATTGTTTCTCTGTAGTGTTGACTGTTGAATAATTATATAGTAATATATCAATTATTAGACATCTAGACTGAACATCTTGCAAACTTGTATAAATATACAGGGGTCTCATGGCAGTGGGTCAATAATTGTCAATTTAAAACTCCAAAATTAAATGAACATCTCCTACCCCTTATTTTCAATCATTTTGTCATTGAATCTCTGTATACTGTAATTTCATAATTGCTGCCACGCATCAGCGTGGCAGCACACTATTCTTAACGTTTTCTTAACGTTCTCCACCCATTCTTACGCGCGACCTATATATTGTCGAAATCTCGATTTGTGTCTGTTAACATTTCGGCGGGGGTTTTTTACGGAATGAGGGGGAGCGACTGTCCAAGGCTCCAAGCAAGATTTTGTGCCCGTATGTTCCATGTACGTGCTTATTAGAAGTCGGAAGTCTCAATAGAAGAAAATATCTAAACTGATTTTAAAAAAAAACGATATGGCTAATTTACATATTGCTGGTAATTTTCATCAAGGCAGTGAACATTTTAGTGTTCAATCTAGAGGTAAGCAATGTGCTTTTATGAGTTTATCGGCAGTTTTAACAGCCGAAAATATCCCAATTTTAGATTGGTCTATAATAACTTTAAATAATGTCTTATTGCAAGGTGACAAAATGTATTTAAAAGCTCTGAATAGTGGCTTAATTGTTCTAGACCCAGGTATTGAATTTTTATCTGTAGATAACTTACCAAAAGTTGTTAGTGTTTCATGTTGTGGGAGCATGTTTTCGTATGAAATCGAGCTGCCCATGGTGGTAGCAGAAGATATTAATTTACCCATTGTGGTGGAGCCATTTGAGGCACACAATAACAATCAACTACCTATGAGGGTAGAACACAATAAACTACCCATGGTGGTAGAAAACACTGACCTACCCATGGTGGTAGAAAAAAATGAACTACCCATGGTGGTAGAAAACACTAATCTACCCGTGGTGGTAGAAAACACTAATCTACCCGTGGTGGTAGAAAACACTGATCTACCCGTGGTGGTAGAAAACACTGATCTACCTGTGGTGGTAGAAAACACTAATCTACCCGTGGTGGTAGAACCCATGGATAAAAACCTTATTTGGTTTATAAATTATGAACAGGAGCTTCAGGGTCTTGTAATAACGGACAATGTTGAGTCTCACTACTATACTATTCATTCAGCACTTTTGAAAACATTCATGGGTCATAGTTCTGCTATTTTCATATTGGAAGGCTATATGATGGCAATAATAAAACAATCAAACTTTTTCTATATATTTGATTCTCATGCCAGAGACAGAAATGGCATGCCTGATCCTAATGGCACTGCAGTTGTCATAAAGTTTGCTAATGTTCTAGATTTGGAACAATTTTTGTATTCTCTTTCGACAAAATCACATGTCAATTTATTTGAAATAGTACCTGTGTATGTAACAAAAACTAATGTAAGCCCAAGCAATGCTGATGATTGTAGAAAAAGAAAACAGTCAAAAGAAATCAGGCTCAAAAAAGTGAGTGAGTCTATGAAAAAAAGGCGGTCAGAGGAAACTGACAGTGCTAAACAGATCAGACTTGAGAAGGATAGACAATCTAAGAAACAAAAGCGTGCAAAAAAAGTGTCACAGCCTGCACATGAAATTAATCAAGAAGATTATTTAAATATGTTTGATGCCACAAAGAATGGTGGTATTGAAGAGCAGTTGTGGGCTAAATCTAATCTGAACAACTTTCATAAGTCTCTGCAGTATACTGTCAGTCAATGTACAATTTGTCAGGAGGCATGGCCCCTGAAATCTAAACCAAGGTCACCTTATGTGTGTTCAAGATGCTCCAGAGATAAAAAGTATCCTAGAAAATTTTCATCTGAAAATTCCATGATACCTTCATCTGTTCCAGATGAACTACGGGACTTAACTCAAGTTGAGCAAATGTTAATTGCTCGTGCTTTGCCAATCATGAGAGTGTAAATCAAACCTGGTGGTCAATGAGGGTATTCAGGGCATTGTATTAACTTGCCTCAAAATGTCACAGAACTTGCAAAATCTTTGCCAAGATATCCTAAGGATTTGACAGTAATTATTGTCAAAGTTAAAGGAAAGGACAACACATTTAAAGATGTCAGAGTAAGAAAACAAAAAGTCTACAATGCTTTAGTTTGGCTAAAGAATAATAATCTACATTATTCTGAAATATTAATTAATGATCATGCATTGCTTTCATTGCCTGAAAATGGTGTACCACCAGAGCTTATGACTGTTGAGACTAATGATGATATTGTCTCAGATGAGGAATGTTCTCCAGATATGGGTCCCCCAACTGATAATCCTTCTGAGGATATTGTTTACAATGAGTCGAAAGAGATGAGTAGTTTTTTACCTGTTGGTGAACAACAGCAACAGGAAATTGAAGCTGTTAGAAATAAGCTCTGTGAAAATGAGCCAATGTCCTGGCCTACAGTTGAAAATGAACCAATAAACGAGTATCAGGTGTCTCATTTAGCTACAATGGCTTTCCCAACATTATTTCCCGATGGAAAAGGTGATTGTACAAATCAAGAACTTTTGAGAGATGTTTCTTTTCAGGAACGAGTAAAGCACCTTCTAAAGTTTGCTGAAATTATTGATGGTAAATGGGTATACGGTTTTGCAAACCATCCCAGATTTTCATATTGGGTTTTCAATATGATTCAAAGAAAACGAATATTGCAACAAAGTGGAATATTTCTAAAACAAAATCCAGGTGAAGCACATCTCACCATAGACGAACTGCGCGAAATGGCTGCGAGTAACAGTGCTAATGTTTTCATGTCTAAAGTCTCTAGATATGTTGGAAATATTGTGGGTACAAATGCTTACTGGAACAAAGTTCGAGATGAACTTAAAGCCATAATTACAAATGTTGGAGCACCAACATTATTTTTTACTTTTTCCTCTGCAGATATGCATTGGCCTGAGTTGCATGCATTATTTAATGCTAATGGGGACTGTGAAAATTCCAATATTCCTAGTGAATTAAGGCGACAAAATGTCATTAACAATCCTCATCTTGTGGATTGGTTTTTCACACAGAGATTAGAAAGCTTTGTTAAACACTGGCTTTATGAGACACTTGGTGCAAAGTGGCACTGGTTCAGATACGAGTATCAAGGTAGAGGTAGTATTCATTGTCATGGTACTGCTAAATTGAATAATGACCCAGGTTTGTGTCAATTAACGCAGACTGCTTTGAAAGGTTTTTTAGCAGAAAAATTTACAGATGAAAATGATTGCCTTGACACAACAGAACTAGACCGGGATATTGAAGCTGGTCAGAAAGCTGCTGAGACAGTATGTCAGTATGTTGATTGGTTGTTATCAACTGTTAATCCAAATCCACCAGATGAGCACATGTGGATAAGACCTGAGGCTCATCCATGTCAACGACCTCATAAAGACATCCCTGAACATGAAAAACAGTCAGATTATGTAGATCTTTTAAACATGGTTCAAAGACACACTCGTTGTAGTACAAGTTATTGTCTTAGAAAAAAGTCAAATGAAACAGATTTGAAATGTCGATTTCATTTTCCCTATGAGCATTGTGCAAGGACAAAGCTAGAATTTGAAAAAATTCACACTAAAGATAATGATAATCATTATAGAGTTAAAGTCGTTACTCAACGAAATGATGCCAGGTTAAATAATCATCAACAACTTCAACTCCAAGGATGGAGAGCCAATTGCGATATTCAAGTTGTCATTGATCACTATGCTTGTGTTGAGTATCTGACAAAATATGCTGCGAAGGGTGAACCAAGATCGCCCTTATTAAACCAAGCATTCAATTCTGTTGTTCAAAATGTAGATATTAATAGCGAGGCTCGTCGAGCTATTAAAAAAATAGTTATGAAATCTCTCGGTGAAATGGATTATGCAGCGCAAGAGACAATGCATCATTTATTGTCATTAAAACTTCATAGCTCATCATTTAGTGTCATTCCAATAAGTTTAAATGGTTCACGTAAAGTGCGTGAAAATGTTGAAGAAGGTGAATCATGCACTAATCATTCACTTCTTGACGTATATGCTAATCGTCATGAATATGATAGTTCACAAGATGTAATGAACATGAACTTCGTCCAATTTGCTACGACGTACAAAGTTGTAAACAATCAACTGGCAAAATTGCCAGAGAATGTTATACCACGAATATTTCCTACATATTCTCCAAATCCAAAAGGGCAAAATTTTGGTCTTTATTGCAAATACCAACTTTTGAGGTATAAACCTTGGAGAAGATCTCAGAATAACGCATGGGGAGATCAAGAGGACCCTACTGACGACGCTTTTATCAACGCTTGGCAAGAATTCTTGCAAACACCATATGGACAACACAATGCCCCTGATTGGTTTGACAAGTTACAAGCTGTTATTCAATGTCAAGAATCAGAAGCTGAATCTTTTGAACAACCAGAAACAACTCGAGAGGAGTGGATGATCATATCGGATATTCATGCACCGTTTGACACAATGCAGGAAACGCCAGAGTCAGTGTATGACTGGCACGTTGACAGAGGTAATTACCCTGAACAAAAAATCCATGAAATGCCTTCATGGTTAAAAACAAACAAAGAAGAATTTACTATGCATGAGCAATATGATGATGTTGATATTGACACTTTTAGTGAAATGCAAAAACTTGCTTACAACATTGTCAAATCTCATTTTAATGATTCATCATCAGATAAAGAGTCATTGTGTTTGGTTATAAATGGCGTAGCAGGAACAAATGTTTGGCACATCAAATGTTTGACAAAGTTGTTAAACTCACAGTAAATCAACGAGTACAAGGTATGACATCTGAACAAATAATTTTCAGAGAGTTATTGTTAAGACTTCGCAAAGGCGAGTCAACAATTGATGATTGGAAATTGCTCCTGACCCGTCAACCATCCAATATCAAAAATATTGAAGAATTTGAAGATGCTACTAGACTTTTTTGTAGCAATGAACAAGTTGCCAATTACAATCATGAGCAACTAACAAAGCTTGAATATCCAATTGCACGTATTAACGCTCGCCATTCATCAGAAATGCCAAAAAAAGATTCCCTCTGATGACATGTCAGGATTAGAACCAGTTGTGTTTCTTGCAAAAGGTGCTAGAGTCATGCTAACCATGAATTTGTGGTCAAATATAGGGCTTTGTAATGGAGCCACAGGGACAGTTGTTGATATTATTTTTCAGAACAACCATCAACCACCTGACTTGCCCATTGCGGTAATTATTGAGTTTGAGAACTATAGAGGTCCTGCTTTTAATGTGGACAAACCATCTTCCGTTCCAATATGTCCAATCACAGTCTCTTCACAGTCGGAAACTGGTTTTCATGAACGGCAACAGCTGCCTTTAAGACTGGCGTGGGCTCTGACAATACACAAGAGCCAAGGACTAACTCTTTCAAAAGCTTGGATAGATATTGGAAAATCAGAAAGAACTGCTGGAGTTTCATACGTTGCAATAAGCAGAGTGAAGTCGCTTTTATCTTGCGTCATTGAGCCCATTACATATGAACGATCGACAAGCTTGAAATCATCGGCTAATTTACAATACAGGCTTGAGGAAGAAGAGCGCCTAGATCGTTTAGCAGAAAATACGAACAGCAGTGCATTATAATAAACAAGCCATCGAGTTTGCGATAAGACGTGGGATTCTGTTATAGGTCCTAAAATATCCCTTTTTTAATCTGTTTAATTTTTTGTCTATATTTGATTAATTTCATATTTATTATAATTTTTATCACTGTATGTATGAGAATATCATTATCAACACGTGCATTAAATGGTAAGTTCTTTATTTTATTTCAGTTTGCTTACTCCCCTCTGGCAGTACAGTTTTTGAGTTAATGAAATGAAAGTGTTTCTAAAAACGTCTTTTTTGTAGTGTCCTTTTTCTGCAGAAGAATAGTAAATACGAAAGGCACCACCTGTATTAGCAATCACAGTGGCATTACTGAACACTTATAAACTTGTTCAAACAATTCAAATACGATAAAGAATGAAACAATATGGATGTGCAATACAACTGTGATGCGGGGTTTCGAAAATTATTCCTTGCTAAAACAATCCGAGAGAAACGACGTAAACGACATTGTTAATGAAAAAATGGACATGTTGTTCTTACGGCGTCGGCAACCAACAGAACCAAGTTCATTCACCATCAACATAGTTCCAAATAACGTCATAATATTTGTTATTGACAGTGTTCTACCACAAAAACATTCCCAAAAGCAAGATGAAACCTCTTTGCCAAAAACGCATAACGTCTTTTAAATTTTAATTGAAGGAAGTTTCGGTATATGCAATACGCATAATCGCCATGCCAATTCTATAACGAACGTTTAACAATCTATAAAATGTATATGTACATAGTCTGCTAATACAAATGGCCCATCCTAACTGTGCATTTACAGTTTGAATTTCACACAAATTACATACATACAGTGTTATTTTTATTAGATAAACTCTGCTGTAAATAGAAGCTGTATCTTGTGCTGTCATGTGCTGTGATGCAATCATGTCATATTAAAAATATGTAATGTAACATAGCAATATCATTAAAGTGTCAATGAGCATAGGGTAGTAACAGTAACACAACCAGCTTTATTTAATCCTTAAATGACAATATTAAACCCATATTAAACTTTTTTTTTCTACAGTAAACTTTTTTCTACTGCTACAGTAAACAAAATATCAAAATCTTTGACAACATCTAACCAAAAAGTTTGATAGTTCCATTAAAATTGACATAAGATATAGTTAAACAGAAGCCTCTTTTGCTTCACAGTCAATATCTGTTATCTTGTTATCAACATTATCATGAACTATATGAAAGACTTTTCCACTTTCCAAAATGACAACCACTAACTCTTCATCTGATATTGAAGTTAGATCCACCTCTGATCCAAGAAGAGTAGCCAATTTCTGAACAGCCTGGTTAAACATGGCCAATCTCAACTTTTCTGCCTTGACTTTCACATTTTGAACTACAACACGCAAGTACCATTGTGCACCACAATTTACAAGCCTTTGCATTAAGTTGCAGCTTTCACAATTGCCAATAGTTTTGGACTTTGCCTTTACCTTTCTACTACATGATATACAAGAAAGATTCTTTGAGATAGTTTGTATACCCACTATCTCTCCTGAAATCATAGACTTGCTTAAGTTGGCAACATGATGGTCAACAGCAACCAGCTCACCCGAAAATGGGGTTCTCTCCTCAAAATTACATTTCTCAGACTTTGGTGTATTCAAGTATCGCTCTACTTTGGAAACCTTCAGACGCACATCTTGAAGTTTGTAAGTTTTATTTCTTTCCAGTTTATCAACATAATCCTCCCATAGTACAAGTTTAATGAAACCTGCAGTGTCTGTGATGTATATGTCCTGCTTTCGCAATTAAATGCCATTTTGGGTTGTTATTTTTTTCACAGGTAATACTTCAGCTACAAATGCTTTCAAGGACACCAACTGCTCTCCTGCAACATTAGACAGATCAGCAATACTGCAGCCAACAGATTGGGACTGAAATTCATTTGAGTAGACTAAATCATCTGTTGGAAATATTGGTGTTACAGAGCAGTGCTTTAATATAACTATATCTTCTTGACCATAACCCGTAGAGGTGCGGAAATGCTATAGACGGACGGGACTCTTACTCTTTTCAACCTTCTTAATTTCTTCGTGCCTCTCTGGTGAGAAGCACACTGCTCTCCTCACTGTGTCCTTGCCTTGCAGTGTACAATTAAAATATCTCTTTTTAGTTCTTGGCGATTCTTTTACAATGCTCACTCCGTGAACAAAGCAGTTAAGGGGATCTGAAAATTAAAAAATATTATAGAAGTCAATTCGCATTTTTTTATTTATAGTTCGACTCGAGTTTTTTGTTCGTCAACGTGACGCCAGTAAAGGCCAGTAAAAAATGCCACTTTGCAAACGAGATTTCTTGACCTTAACCCTACTACCATCAAGCTTTAATAACGTTACATATATACCTTCCGTTCCTTCTTTTGTTTTACCAGCCATACTTTTTAGTACAAATCTGTAAAACACACAGTAAACAAAATTGTCGATAATTTTGCCCTAATAATCACATAAATTACACTGAAAACAATATTATTGGTATTTAATATTCTTTCGCTGTTCAATTGTGGTATAAACTTACACTTATTTACTATACTATACACAAAATAAAACACACCTTTTTGACTTGCAGTTCGGCGCATAACCACGTTTTTGGACGCTTGCATATTCATAGAGATTATAAATAGTGTCTATTGCCATTCCGTGATTTGTCAATGTGGTCACATGTCAGCTACTGAACTATATTATATAACCTGGAGTACTTAAAACCACAGAATATCACAAAAAGGCAGCACTCACTTGCGATAGTAACTCCTAGTTTTAACTATATAATAATTGATGTACATGTAATCCTACAAATCTCAATTTTATAAAACAACCTAATTTAATTGGAAAATGGTAGGCCTTATAAACCCTCACATAATAATGTAAATGATAGTGTTTACATGAGCCCAACATATGTATGCTTACAACTTCAACTAGACCTTATTAAAAGGGTTAGTCCTCTTGGCCAAAGATGCTTGGGTTAGCTCTGTAACAAAAAATGGATACAGAACTTGAAACATTAATTTCTTTGATATCCTTACATGATGAAGTTATTATAAACTTGATAATATTCATTTACTGTAGAGAAAGGACATTCAAAGTTGTGATTTATTGATGTTTCTTCTTACTATCGCATAGCCATTATATAATAATATACTGGTACATTAAAGACTATCACCTGTATTCAAAAAGCTCACTCACACTCACACTCATTGAGTGTGACATATAAATTTTGTTAATGGTGATCAATGAGAAAGTTTTTTCTAAATAGATGGAAAGATATAAGGTAAATCACTGAAAATCAAACCCCTATTCGGCTGGAAATACCGCCATTGAAATGTTATGGGAAGATTAAGATCTTCCACTCAATGAGTTTGAGTGTGAGTGAGCTTTTAGAATACAGGCGTATAACTAATTGTGCCATACTGTACATGCTTGAAATCTATGTCCTTAATAATTCCCCAACTTGTCTTAATATAGTACCTCACCAAATGGAATTTGCCTCTACAATGCTACCTCACTCGCGTTGACAGGGTCAGAGGACTTAGCATCAATTTTGAGATGCTTAACTAGTATTGAACTGTACAAAAATGCCCAGTTCTACTCTAGTCATCCTGTCATTAAATTGCAACATGATAATGGAGCATTTACTTCACTTAAAAATGCATTTGCCATGTGTTTATCTAACTCTGCCCTTTCAATGTTGAAAACTGTGGTGATGTAGCAGCAGTTATTGAAGAAGCCAAGTGTAATTCAAATAACCACTCATTTTCATCAATGGTGTGCATGTTTGCATTGGCAACAGTTACAGGATGTACAATTCAGTCATACTTTCTAATTTCCAACGAGGCTGCCCCAAAGGAGCAATGGGATTCATTGGCTAAAATGTACAACTGCTCAATAAATCCGAGATCTGGTGATGTTGGTGAAAATATTCATATTTTCCGTTGTGCTACCATGCCACATCAGTATATCATCGATCGCAAGATACCAGATTCAAAGAATTATTATGTTGCTCTTTGCCTGCCTGTGAAATCAGTTGCGCCTGGTGAACAGTATTTTGTGCCAAGTCTTCCACGACTTTGCATATCAAATGTTGTTCCAGTCTCATAGACTCTAGTCCCTAATTTAGTTTCACGTCATTCACTTTTTCCTTCAACTTGTGCACAACCTGACAAATTCACCGAAGCTGAAATTCCTGAACCCATCTTGACTGGTAGAAAACGAAAGCAGGTTACGTTAGATGTACTCTTTCCCAAGAGAAAGATTGAGGAGAAACAGCAATCAACTGTCGATGACATGTTTTTCCTCGAGTCAGATGACGAAGCCTTGAAGAAAGATGACAGAAGCTTGAAAAAAGTTGACGAAGCCTTGAGGAAAGGTGACAGAGGCTTGAAGAAAGATGACGAAGACTTGAAGAAAGATGACGGATCCTCGAAGAAATTCGCACGGCTAAAGGAGCCATTAAAAGACAGCAATCCTTCAACTTGCCATACCACTGTTAAATCCAACAGCAACTCTCACCCTTTTGACATCAGTAACTTTGTTTGCTGTGTAGCGGTGCTCTCTGATGCTGAGAAGTATGACGTTCTTTGCAAGGTTTGGAGACCTAAAATAGATTATACCTTTCCAGTTAATACAAACTCTAGAAGACGCTTTCGTCATGAGTGGTTAACCTCTTTCCCTTGGTTACGTTATTCTGCTGCTGTAGATGGTGGTTTTTGTTTCAATTGCGTTCTGTTTGGTGGCGAAAGCACCCACAATTCCACGAAATTGCAGCGATTATTTAAATTCCCTCTTCATGCAAGGACGGCAAGTGTAGAAAAATTAGAAGATCACAACGAGAAGTCTCCTATTCATAAAACAGCGACCGTCCGAGCAATGCATTTCAAACAAGTGATGGAGAACCAAAGAATTGCTGTTGATGCTCAAATCAATACTGCAAGGCAGGAATTAATTGAGAAGAACAGGATGTGCCTTAGTCCGATTGTTGGAGCGATTTTGACATGTGCTCGGCAGAATATTCCACTTCGTGGTCATCGTGATGATGCACACCATTATCTTGGGAACGACACATCAAATCCTGGTAATTTCATTGAAATTCTTAAGTATGGTGCTTCGTTGGGAAATCTTACAGACGTTGTCTTTGAAAGCTGTCCCTCCAATCAAACATATCGATCCAAAAGTATACAAAATGAGATCATTGAAATCTGTGGCGAAATGGTGACCGACAAACTTGTTGGTGATGTGAAAAGAGCAAGGTTTTTTTCAGTTTTAGCAGATGAAGCAACAGATTGCTCAAACAGTGAACAGATGGCTATGGTTTTGAGATTTGTTGACAGTTGTTCAATGAAAATTCAAAAAGAGTTTTTAGGATTCATTCAGTGTAATGATGGATTGTCTGGCGAAGCATTATCTGTAAACATTTCGCAATTTATTGGCAGCCTTGGCTTACGCATGGAAGAATGTCGCGATCAAGGATATGATGGAGTGGGAAATATGGCTGGCAAGTTCTCCGGAGTTGCTGCTCGAATCCAGCGAAACTTCGACAAAGCTATTTACGTTCACTGTGGATCTCACATCTTAAATCTCTGCGTTGCATCTTCCTGCAGTTTACCTGTAATTCGTGACATGATGGATAACATGAAAGCTGTTTCTGATTTCTTCAATAATTCTCCAAAACTAACTCTGGTGTTGCAAGAAAGCCTAAAAATGTTACTGCCCCTTGAAAGCCATCAGAAACTGATAAACGTGTGCCGAACTAGATGGGTGGCAGGAATTGATGGTCTACAAATTTTCATCCAGTGTTATACGGCTATCATTGATGCCCTGGATCGTTACACAGCAAGTGGTATGAAGAGTGCCGTTGAAAAGTTTAAATTTATTGTGGCTCTTGTTGTTGTGGAACGGTGCCTTAAATGTACGAAGCCCCTGACTCTTCAACTTCAGAGTGCATCACTCCACGCTGGAAAAGCTTGTGATAAAGTCTCCCTTTTGTTCCTAACCCTCAACGAACTTCGATCGGAAATGGGTAAAACACATTTGAATCTCTATGAAGTGGCAGTGAATTTGGCAGAAGAGGCAAATATAGCACCATCAAAACCCAGAACGACCGGACGTCAAGTTCACTGTGAAAATGTTCCTGCCGAGTCAACTTCAGATTATTTTAAGAGGGTCATTACCATACCTTTTCTTGACGAGCTAATAGGACAGATGGAGTCGCGATTTTGTGAAGGAAACCTTGACGCTCTCGATGCATTAAATGTCATGCCTGATATAGTGGTATCTCAGTCGGACTGGACACAACATTTTTCTCGCTTCCTACAAAAATACAAAGATCTACCTGATCCAGATTTTCTAGAGTGTGAAATGAAAATATGGAAAATACATTGCACGACTTCCACGACAGCAATGCCAACATCTCTGGAGGAGCTCCTTCCACAAGTTGATCCACTTGCCTTTCCAAACATTCTTGCAGCTTTAAAGATTTTTGGTACCATCCCAGTCACAACATGTTCCTGTGAAAGATCCATTTCTACTTTGCGGCGATTGAAAACGTACCTGAGAAGCACTATGGGTCAAAGAAGATTAAAATCGTTGGCTTTTCTTCATGTCCATCGCAAAATAAATCTCGACATTGAAAAAATCATTGATCGGTTTGCTCTAATCCAATGAAAGCTGAGTCAATTGAACTGATTCTAAAGAACATACCAATAAATGGAAAAACTCTAATAAATTTTTTATTGTATTAATTTAACTGAACATTTTTCTCCGCTCCACTCTGCCATCGTGCTGCTGTTTCAAGATGATTATTAACGGAACATTTTTCTCCACTCCACTATCGTGCTGCTGTCTCTAGATGATTATTAACTGAACATTGCTTAAAATTATTAAACACATGGCAATAGCAACATCATATAAGGCATTTTTGGGTGAAGTGAGCTTTAATGTCTTGCTGTTTTTTAATGGTGCTGTTAATTTAGTGGGCAGATGATTTACTATGTACTGATATGCTGCAACCAACATTTCAATATTGCTAGCCTATCGTCGTGCTGTAGTCTCAAGATGATTATTAACTGAGTGATTCCTCCTGCCTACGATATGTCGTGGTTGGACATAGTCTATTTACTGAACAATTCCTCTGGTGTGATACTTGGTTCTGTTCCAAGATGATTATTAACTGAATGATTCCTCCTGCCTGTCGCTGTTGGAAACAGATTATTTTCTGAACATTTACTGCCGTGTACAATTGGTGCTGTTCAAGATGATTATTGACTGAACAGTTTCTCCAGTCTTCACTTATGTTGCTGTTTAAATATGGTTGCCAAATGGACATTTTTCTTTTTGGCTACCGTGGTGATTGTTTGGGCAAATCGTGAAGTTGTGGCAATGTTTCCTATTTTCGGAGGAACCATTCAGGTATTGTGTTTCCTTTCTGATGCAAAAATTCTATGTTTTTTGATTTTGGTAAGTATAAATGAAGACAAGTTAACACAATATGTAGTGCTGTGTGATTATATTTTCTGCTGTTACAATGCGACGTTAGTAATTTTTCATTTCCTCAAAATTAGAAAACAAATTTTTGGAATATTTAGGTAATCCAACGTAATTAACAAAATTTAATTTGCACTATTGTGTTAACAAGACGCCATTACCAAAAACAACAACTTTAATGTGTCACGTGGTACCTGAGTACAGGTACCCTAAGAACATATTGTAACATCTTCCCCTTTAACAGTTATGTCGCTCGGAAGAAATCCAAGCAAGATTTCAAGTACAACAAAATTTAAATGTCTTTTAAATTTCAAGTAGCATCACTGCTAGAGTTCTAAACATAATATGGACGATCTTCATTGTTATCAGTTTCATTATTTATAGAGTTCATATATATATTATTTACAGATTTCTTGTAGGCGTTCAATTGCAATCATAGTCCTTAAGGTAACTGGGTGGCCTTCTTTGACGTTGTGGTCTGTTGCCTGCCAAGGTTTGTGGTGCAGGAACAGTTGTTGGCCCTATGGGTGCTGTCTCTTCCTGGGTTCGGCCTATGGGTGCTGTCTCTTCCTGGGTTCCATCATCATCCAATGCTAGGTCGTCCAGAGGTTCATCATCCTCGCTGCTGCTGAACGGCTCATTAGATCTTCTTAAGTGTACTCTATTCCGTCGATATGTTCCGCCCGCTTTCGTTTTGACATAGTAAGATCGGTCATCATGTTTGGATGTGACAACTGCTTTTCGCCATTTGTTTTCGCCAAGACGAGTGGGCTTCATACGCACCACGTCTCCTATTTTGAGCTTGCTGAGGTCTTTTGCTGATCGATTATAGTACATCGCTTGTGTGCTTTGTTTCTTCCTCAGCTTATTCTGTTGCGTTTGCAGTGACGGGTCAGAGGGTTGCAGTAGGCTGGTCGTCATCGGTAGTAGCGTTCTAGTGCGTCTGTTCATGAACCGTTGTATCGGGCTAAGGTTTATGCCTTGGGATGGAGTGTTGCGGTAACTCAACAAGGTCATTTGGAAGTCAGACCCGGCTAGGGTAGCCTTTAGAATGAGACGTTTCCGCTGTTTTGACAGCTGATTCCGCCATGCCATTTGACTGGTGGTGCTCGGGGCTCGAGGTGAGGTGTTCGAAGTTCCACTTCGTGGAGAATGTGGCGAATTCAGCAGAGATGAATTGAGGCCCGTTATCAGATACTAGAATCTCAGGACAACCATAGCGGGCAAAATGAGCCTTTAATTTCTGTATGACCGGGAATGAGCCTTTAATTTCTGTATGGAACTGGGAAGCTGGTCAACTTCCCAGAAGTTGCTAAAGTAGTCGACCGTAATTAAGTACGCTTTCTTTTCGCATTCAAAAAGATCCACAGCGATCTTTTGCCACGGTCTGGAGGGCAGTTCATGAAGCACAAGTGTCTCTTTTTGATGGCTTGTGCCGAAGGTAGCACACGTTTCACACTGTGCCACAAGGTTTCGTATTTCCGCGGACATGCCTGGCCAAAAAAGGCATTCCCGGGCTCTTCGTAGGCATGCTTCAGCCCCCATATGTGATGAATGGAGCTGAATGGACTGATGAATGGATTTTCATTTCGTTGCGAAGCTTGGTGGGCAAGATGACCCGCTCACCTTTGAATATCAGTCCATCCTGTATGGAAAGTTCATCGCGCATGCTAAAATATGGGCAGACTTCTGGGGCTAGTGCTTGTTTGTTGTCGGGCCAACCTCGAAGAATGGTGGCTTTGAGCAGTTGTAACGCCTTGTCTACTTGGGTGGCATCCTGAATCTTTGTCAGTCGTTCATCTGAAATAGGAAGAAACTGCGACATGTTGATGCTTTCGAATTCGACTGTGCTCGGATCTGCAGAAACTGGGAGGTATGATCGTGATAGTAAGTCCGCAATATACATTGTTGGGCCAGGTTGGTACACAAGTTCAATGTCGTATGCTTGTAGGCGCATTCGCATGCCTTGTAAGCGTCGAGGAATGTCGCCCAGCGGTTTCTTAAGTATCATTTCAAGGGGCTTATGGTCGCTAATAACGTGGACAGGTCGGCCGTAAGTGTGGTGATGAAACTTTTCTAGAGAAAAGACGACGGCAAGGAGCTCCTTCTCTATCTGTGCATATCTTTGTTCCGTCTTGGTGAGGGCACGACTGGTGTAGGCTACTGGCTTGCCTTCTTGTAGGAGGGCGGCTCCCAAACCTCGTTGGCTTGCATTGCACTGGACTTGGAGCTCTTGATCAGGATCATAATAGCGAAGTATTGGGGATTCTGTTGCCAGCGTCTTAACGATGTTGAATGCTTGTTGCTGTTGCTCAGACCACTCCCACGAGACGTCTTTTCTTGTTAGTTTGCGAATGGGCGCCATGACTGTCGCAAGCTGTGGGAGAAATTTTGCAAGGTAATTCACAAACCCGTTCAATCTTTGAACTTCCTCCACGGATGTGGGTGCTTCCATTTCTGTAATTGCTTTGACTTTTTCAGGGTCGATCTTGACACCTTGTCCTGTCAGGATATGTCCCATAAACGGTACTTCCTCCATCCGAAGTCTCAGCTTGTCAGGATTTAGTGCAATTCCGCGTTCCTTGCAGCGGTGCAGAAGGTTGATCAATTTCACGTCATGGTCCTTCTCTGCTTCTTCCTTTGTTACACCGACGCCATAGATTAAAATATCGTCCGCTATGTTGAGCGTACCATCGAGACCCTCTAGAGCAAGATTCACCTGCTTTTGAAAGATCTCGGAAGAGACGCAAAGGCCGAAGGGTAACCGGAGCCATCAATAGCGACCGTATGGAGTAGAAAAGGTGGTCAGCATGCTCGATTCCGTGTCAAGTGGGCAGTGCCAGTATCCAGAACGAAGGTCAACTGTGGAGAAAACTTTTGCTTTAGAGAGCTCAGGTAGGATCTCGTCGAGAATAACCATCTGATGTCGTTCCCTCTTGAGGGCGGTATTAAGGGGACGAGGGTCAATGCAGACCCGGATGTCACCAGATTTCTTTGTGGCAATTGCAACACTATTAACCCAGGGGGTAGGCTCACTAACTGGTGTGATGACCCCAAGTTGCTGTAAACGGTCAAGCTCAGTTTTAAATTTGGCTCGGAGTGCTGCAGGTATGCGTCGGGGGGGGTGTCACCACCGGTCGAACGTCGGGGTCAACTACAAGATGAACTTTATCTGGTAAAGTCCCAAGGGGGCTTTCAAAGACATCGGGGTACTGTGAGATAACCTGCTCAGTGGTGGACACAGAATAGGTTTTTGTTGGCAATGGTAGTGCCGCTTCGAGCTCAGGAGGGATAGTAGAAATAAAGCAGTCACTGTGCACTGTGATAATGTTCATGTGCTGTGCCGCCCGGGCCCCGATGATAGGTAGTAAATTCTCATGGACAACAACAAATTCAACTGAGTATTTCTTGTTATTTTGTGGGTTTCGAACAATCATCCGTATTGTTCCCACAGGTGCAACTTCTGAATTGTTCCACATGCGCATCCGTTTGCATGTTGGTTTCAGTGCACCTCCTTTAACATATTGCACAGGCAAAATGTTGATTGTTGCTCCACAGTCAATTTGAAATTTGATGGACTGTTTTGAGACTATGAGTTCCGCAAATATTTCTCTAGCAAAGGGACTAGTCTTAGCTGTACTGACAGAGTGAACAACATCATGCACTATTGATACACTGGTAATATACTCAACGTTGTCATCTGAGTACTAACTTTCTTCACTCTCCTGGTTTTTCATAGCATGAATATTTGTCGATTTAGCTTTACGACAAACTCGTGAAAAATGGTTGCGAGTGCCACAAGTGAGACACGTTTTACCCCAGGCTGGGCATTGCTCTTTGATTCTAGCGTGCTCGGTTCCACAGTACTGGCAATGGACGTGGGCTTTGGTATCAGGTTGGCTTTTGGACTGGTTGAGTGGTCGGTTTTTTGTTGGCCGTCTTGTGCGTTGGCCAATTGCTTGGACTGCTTCGGTGTCAGGACATCCTTGGAGATGTTTTTAAGCTGTGACAAGGCAGATTCAGCGCTGTGACACATGTCAATGCATTTCTTGACGGTCAGCTTTCTATCTTGCAATAATCGCTTTCGTGTGTTTTGACTCTGTATGCCCAACACAATTCTGTCTCTTAGCAAAGTGTCTTTCAAACAGTCACAAAAATTGCATGTTTTGGCAAGTGTTCTAAGTGTTGTCACATAAGTATCAATGGATTCATCAGGCTTCTGGTTACGGCTGTTAAAAATATATCGTTCATATATTTCATTGACCTTGCCTATCGCGTGAAGGTCAAACATCTCAAATATTTTCGTTAAAGACTGGCGATCTGTGTCGCTTTCAAAGTTGAGGCCATTGTATATTTTCAAAGCATCAGGCCCCACGCAGTGTAGAAACAGAGCTACTTGGTATGACTCCGGTTGGGCATTTAGGTTGGTAATGATGGCATAATTCTTCCATGCTTGCTTGTATGTCTTCCAATTCTCCGCGATATTCGCACTTCGAGTATTGAGCTTTCCAGGCGGTTTTATTCCGGGCAATATACTCATTGCATTCGCAGTTTGTGCTGTATTTGAGCTCACTGGGTTATCGTTCGAGGTTGTCACTTGTTTTGTAGTGTCTGAATCGGACATAATTCGATTGTTTTCAGCGTTTTATAATGGTTTTATAATCCCGTAGCTGCCACCATGTGTTAACAAGACGCCATTACCAAAAACAACAACTTTAATGTGTCACGTGGTACCTGAGTACAGGTACCCTAAGAACATATTGTAACAACTATAACGTGGGAAAATGCTTGGAAAATACTAGGGGTTTTAAAATGGCATTTCTTAATATAGTTAGTCTTCTGAAACATGTTGATGAATTGCGCACATCTAGATTATTTCTCCATTTTGATTTGCTTGCTTAGAATAAATTCGTCCATTTCGGATAGTCTAGTCAAAATTCGTGGTTACGATATCGTCAGGAATGACAGATCACGTAGAGGGGGAGGTGTTTGGATCTACCTTCGTAATACTATTAACTATAAAATTAGAAATGATCTGGTTCCTAATGATATTGAAGCAATTTGTTTGGAAATTTCTAAGCCTAATTCTCTAAACTTTATCGTAGCATCCATTTATCGCCCACCAAGCTCTACATCTGAGTTTTTCCTAACATTTGAGAAAATGATTAAAATGATTGATGACGAAAATAAAGAATTTCACATCCTAGGAGACCTAAATTGTAATATGTTGATGAATAATTTCGATCAACCTACAAAAACACGCAAAGGTATTTTTGAAACATATCAATTATCTCAACTCATAACAGCGACTACACAAATAACGATTAGTTCCAGCACTCTTATAGACCATTATATAACATCTACCCCAGAATAAATTATCCAGTCTGGAGTAATACATACGGGGATGAGTGACCATAGCTTAATCTTTGGTATTAGGAAAATTAATCTTGTTTTAAGTACCCGTAAAAAAGCTAAAAAGGTCGAGGTTAGAAACATGAAAAGATTTAACCCTTTGCCTACCGACGGGACGTGAAAGTCCCGCATTGTGTTGGGGGACTTCTCTGACAATAGCAGATCAATATGACATTGAGGATCAAATGGGGATATTTAATTAATGCTGACGTAATGGTATAATGCTGACCACTAAAATTCGCAGGAGCATCTTAGGCATAAATAAACAAAAGAAAACGGCGGCCACGCAATTGGCGTGATGAAGTTCAGGTTAGTTTTATTTTGCTTTTTGTGTTGTTCTACGTAGTTTTGAAATGCTGGGAATTTTTTTCTAAATTATTTACCATTCAAACAACATTCCTATCTACTTTTTTGGTTTGCCTGATAATCATTGCTGTAGAATTGTGCATTTTTCATACTGGGACTTTATAGTCCCGTTGCCTGGGTCTTAGGCTAGAAAGTTGTGATAT